GTAATCCCCTGAAATTGGAAGTAGAACACGTTCAGATTATCTCTAAAGCCAGATTAACTCCATGGAAGAACTTGAAGTAACTGAACATCATTACTGAATATTCACAGCACTCGTCAAAGAAGCGATTTCAAAATTAATAATTTGATAAAACACTTGAAACTTTTCGTAAAAAATCTTTAAAAATGTTCTTAAACAGGCAGAAATTCCCAAGATATATTTGAAAGTAGTTTCATTGTTTCAATCTAGACCCGAAAGAAAAGGTATTGGAAATTTGAATCACGACTTTCGGATTTTTTTGGATCCCCGAAAATGCCACGACGTCGGAATTTCCATAATTCATTCCTTTTTCATTTATATAACGTGCTTATTTTAAATTATCTCAAGACAACTCTTGATGGAGGATAACTACGAATTGCTTTTTAATATTTCCGGAAATGCAACTTTCCACAGATCCGATTATAAATCTGTTTCATCCTCGAAGTTTTCTCTAGGATAAAATTCTATGTCAAAAACCGGTACGCCCAAAAGTAAGAAAATCTAATACAATCTTATAGTATCTGATCCTGGGACTGTGTTGCTGTATGTAAAATATTTCTTCCGTCTCATGGATTAATAAATATAATTTCATTTAAATTTCTTTTCAACCGTCGCGTATAGCCCTCGAGAAGTACACGTATATACACGTATATAGAGATGCCACTGTGCATAAAACTCCACATTCACTGCTCTCATGTCCACACGTGATCCACAACATTCCTGTGATCCAATTGCTGGAAACATCACCTCTCTTTCGCGCAACATGGGACGCAAATAGAAGGGACCCCTGTTCCGGTGGGAATGCATGTGTATATATACAAAAGCCAGTTCCGCATTCACTCACGGGACCCTTTTTTTTTTATTCTTTCCTCTCCTATACACGTCCTTCTGAACGCGAGAAGAATGATAACCGAGTTAATGCCACTTGGGATCACAAGAAAGGGCGTTATTATTATTAGTAAGCCTGTATATATTCTCGCTTTCGTCAGGTGCTGCTGCTGGCAGCAAAGCGGATCATATTTGCTCTGCGCTGAAAGCTCGGATTATCCTATCCGATTTGGTTCACAGCGGAGAAGATTTTCGGATTAGGCGAAAAAGAAGAAACCAGCGGATCTTTGGCGACGACTTCGGTTTCCTTTAACGAGATTACATGAGATACAGAACAAAAGACGAAAAAAACGGAAGCCAGAAACGGAAAAACACGTCGATAGGAAACTACGATGATCTTCTGAACCCCTCGCAAGACCTTGAAAGGTTAAATAATTGACGCAGAACTTTCCTGAAGTATGGATAAATATGAAAAAAATTCACAGCTGTGGAAATAAATTGTGCGCTTGAAATGACTATAATAATATGACAAGAAAGCTGATATTGAAGGTAAGTTGAAATTATTTAGAATGGAAGCTATGCAAGAATTACTGCACTTGAAACGAATGAAACTCAGGGAAAGTATTGCAGCTCGTACTCATACGCATCTTCATTTGGATGCATTTTAAAGCAATACTCATTATGACTCATGAAACTAATTCTAGAAATAGCTTTCGTTGAAATTTTCGATTGGGTCATAATGTTAGAATTGAAAGAACGAAAATATAACCTCGTGTCCATTCGCGTAACACAAAGTTGTATGAATAATTTTAAAAAATGCAAAAAAGGCAATATGTCCTACCTCTTCAAAATGTTGAGCTAACGCACTGAAAGTCATGTTGAATTTGATCCTATTTAACCGTCATTGAAATCATGTCCAAGTTTATATTTTTGACGAGAGTTGCAATATGCATCCTCACAACGATGTAAGACACTATATAAGAAATTTGTATTAGAAAAATACTTTCTGACTGGTGTAATTGCAAGCAGTTAATCAGGAAAATACCAAACAATATTTTTCATTGAAAATGCAAGGTTATTTGACATTTGAAGAAGGGTTCTTCAACTCATCAAGAACAAATCACTGTTGATGACGAAAATGCATGTACCGTAATCTCGCAGGTAACGTTTTCCGTTCTGTCTTATTGCCAAACTTTTGGAGTAAATATAAATTGAAGATTCAAGAAAATATTTTTTTATTTAAAAAAATTGAGTCACTCTGGTATGCTCGTTTTTTCACGTTTTTTCTTTTGGATTGAAAGAAAAAAATGTGGACCAGAACCATTGAACATTTCAAGATCAACATGTTTACTGTTCCAAGTTTCATCTGCTCAAGTCCTTGGACCAACCCTTGGACAGTGGAGGGTTCTTTCCCATAGCTGGTCAGAGTTGGATTATTTTTGAATCCTCCTGCATTTTCAAAATTTCAAGGTTCAGGAAAACCCTTCCAGGTGGGCAGAGGCAAAGTTGGAATAAATAAAAAAAAAAGCCAGTAGACTAACTGAGAATTTTTTTTTAATATCCCTGCAAAAATTTTCTTAGCCCAGGGAAAAAAAAACATTGGATTTGAATGCGCTGTTAACCCCCTGTTGACATTTTTTTCTTCACCAATCTGAGGTGCAACAAAATTTCGAAAAAAAGTCCAACTTAGCCACCCAAGGGTTAAAAAGCATATCCCTGAAATAAAGAAATAAGTAGGATGTAGTTGGAAACAAAAACAGATCCACAACATATTGGGCATTCAGCTAGACCAAGATGACTCCAAATTCAACAGAGCTAATCGAACGTCTTCCACGGCATAATTGCACCAGACTCAAAAGGAACCCAAATCACCCGCAATTCAGATCAAATTTCGAAGAGAAATACTCCATGCTTCCTGAGTTACTCAGAAGTCAGAAAGTCAAAGGACCGGGAAAAGAAAACAAGTTTTCGAAAAGGGAAAGAATAAGCCTGGTTTTCCTGGGCCCATAAAACCCATTTGCTCGCAGCGGGAAGAACTGAAGAATATATGACCGCGAATGTCTCAGAAAGGAAGACTGGAAGAGTAAGGTGCCCTATTTCTTTTACTGTATTACTTGAACAATAAGGCTTTGAAAAAGGCAAACAATGTGGAACTGCGTTAATAGTAATTTCAATGGAGCCACACAAGGGAAAGCATGCACATTAAACTCTGAATGACCCAGGAAAGCTTCTTCTGAAGCTTCATCTAAGAATTATATGGAAGCCAAAAAGGGATTCTTACTCGGAACTTTTCTCACACGGCTATTCATCAAGTGAAGTAAACACCAGTCAAGAAGCAACGCGGGCTTTTCAATCATTTCAAAGAAATACAATCGCTGTATATTTCCCTCTTTCCCGCTAATACGAAAGTAAGAACGCACATTCTGGACGGATTTTAATTACAGTAATTACTTAACCATGAATGAAACGTATTAAAAATTCCGTGGTCGTGGCTTTTTAACTCATTTTTATTCCATGATTCTTACGTCCAGCAGGCTTCAGAATAGTGCCTCAAAATTGTTGACTTACAAACAACCTGCACGAATTTTTTTTTTTTTTAGCTGTCGAGCGATACTGAATTTTAAAACTATCTTCTTCTCGTTCTTTTGACATTGAAACCATGCAAAACTTCATTTATTAAATTGTCTTGCTTGTAAGCGCTGATTTCTCCAAGCATTCTGTTCCCCACTAAAGGTATGTTATTTTTTAAAGCCCATTTAATTGAGTTGCTTTATTGATTATATAACGTTTTACCTTGTTTGATAGAACCCATTCATCTCTTGGCAAATTTCGAGGGAAATCGCACGTGGCAAAGGAGAATTTACGGTACGTGAATTACAGTCGAAATGTGGACTTCTAATTGTATTTTATTTTTTTTGGAGGTAGAGACGAAAAAAATCTTTTCGGCAGATTTTCAAGGAAAGTGGACGTTTTAAGTGAAAATAACACATGAACATACTTCACTGATTCGACGAAAATGCTTATTTATTCTCAAAAGACACGCAGCAAAGGTCATGCTCTCATGTTTCGGCAAATTTCAGAGGAACGTACGCATGTTACGCAAGCAAATGCTGCTATATACATCATCCATTTTTGAATCTTCGGCGAAAAGTCAATGATGATTATTTTTAAATTCGAGCGAAGCGCAGCAAAATTTGTGCACTTTTTCCTTCGCATATGTCGGGGTACTGTGCGGATGTTACTCATGAGTTTGGTATTTACTGGTACAAAACATACCACGGGCACTGTTTTTTTTTATTGAGAGGAAAAAAGGGGTGCCCATCATTGGTGGGTACTGGGTATACATGCAAAGTTTTTGAAGTTTAGATGTGCCATACATTTGACTCTAATAGTTAATGGGAAAGAAGGGGAAATTTTGGAAAAATTTTGAACAAAAACGCATTGAAAGGGAAATAATTGCAAGTTTTTCGAACTCAGGATCAAAGGATCAATTCATGTGTAAATTCAAATTTGGGTGTTTTTTCATTGCAGTTTTAGATTAATTAAACTGGTGGCATGTCTTATTATAGTAGATAAAATTTCATAATGAATAGTGTTAACTGAAAAACCCTGATGCATGTCTTATTTGAGAGTTCATGAAACTTGAGTAAATAAAGTTTAAAAAAAATATGCAGACTTGTGCATTTGTATTATTCATGCATTTTTATGTAAAATGAATCTGTATTTTCTTTTCTTGAATTTCATGGGTCCATTGGATCCCAGACAAGGGAATTTAATTTTGCAGCCATTAGAGTACAAGTCTTGAAGGACTGAAATCTTGTACAGCAAGAGGAGTTCCTTCTCAGTTGCCACTATTGTCATTTGGCTGCTATATTAATGGCTGAATGGTTGTTTGTAATGGTAGAATAGGTTCAAAATTGGTTGTTTAGCTCAGAAGAATAGGTCAAGTAATTTTACTGTTACAGGCCCTTAAACACTGAATCCTACTTCTTCCTCAAAGAGGAATGAAGCTTTTCATACCTGTGTGCACCACTGCACTCAAACTGGGTGAAGAAGAAATCAGGTGATTTTTTACCAGCTCATGATTGGCCAATTCAGGCAAAATCAAGAAAGTTGTGACTGCTTTTTGTCCTTTGATGAAACTCAGTGAGTCTTGCCAAAACTGTATTCTAGCCAGGCTCACTGGACTTGATGGGAGAAATCAGGTTCCTCAGCCAGATGCTGGAGCATTACCGCATTTGAGATGCCACATTGCAGGAATACAGTATTGAATTATTTTGTCCTTCTAATATGCTGAAAAGTGTTTGAAATTGTGTGTGTGGGGTGGAAAACTTTCTTATTTGAAGCTTTATGACACTGACAAGTGGCAAATAAAGTTTGTATATCAATCAATGACTTAGTTTGTAAACACTGTACATACATAATGAGCTTTCACTTTTTTAGCAATCATCTATGACAACAGGAATTATTATATTTTTCATTGACAAAGGGCAGGAAAAATCAAGCACTTGAGTTGCAAAATTCAGAACTAAATCACTACACAGTGTGCACACAGGGTGAAGTAGGAAGAAAAGTTATAGTAATACAGTATGAAAAAAGCTTGTAAACCAATCTATTCATCAGAAAATACAGTGAGACCCCCAGATGCTGACATAATTGGTGCACACTCTTGATGCACCAAGAGTGTCCCTATGTCGGATTGTCCCCAAGTCAAATCTTGTTTTCCCGTAGACTTACATTGTATACTTTTTAATTGGAGTTTTAAGGAAGAAATATTCTTCAGAATTTCATGAAAAAAAAGTTTGCTACTTGATTTTGATTCAGTGAATATCTTTTCAAACCAATAAGAACATTTTGAACATTGAATAGTGTACCTCTGAACAGTAAATTGAAAAGTTGGCATCTGGAAAAATAACATCCATGTCACAAAGAGAGCTAGAAGGAAGTCCCTCTGTGCTATCATTCTTAAATTAGCTGAATGGATGGGAAAATGCTGGGAAAAGTACCAAAGAGTTTTTCTTGAATAGATCTTAGGTTGGAAACATCTATTTCTTGCAATTAAGCCTTATAAAAATCGATTTTCCTAAAATATATTTTGGAATTTTATCCTGCAATGTCCCCAGGTTGAGTCAGTGTCCTCATGTCGGGTCTTTTTTATGATTGTTTTGTTGAAAAATAAATGTCCCCATGTCAAGGCATCTGCATGTGGGGGTCTCACTGTATTCTACAAGTGGGCCTGAGAAAAATGAGACATTGAAGGAAATTTGTGTGAATGAACTGCGATTGAAATGCAGGCGTTTCTGCTATAGATTGATCTTCGATAAAAGAGAAAGGGGAATGTCTAAAGTTCGGTGAAAATCCTGATCGGTTTGTTATTAACCGCTATTTCCTTCTTCTGTATAAACCCTTTCGTTAATGCGGCACTTTTCAACACACGAAAGCCGATTTTGTCACTTTTCTAATAGTGAATTCTTTGCTCGAAGCACCTCCAAAAATGCTGTTACCTCTCCTTTTATTTGAAAGAGTGACAGACATTTAACGTTTTTTGGAATCAATACAGTATCGAAATTATTTTCCTCTTCTTTTGGCTACCGGTTTTCGGAAGAAGTATGAAGCACCTGAACCATGATAATCTATTCCTGTTCCATGAATTTGATTTCTGTGGGCTAACTGCCTTCAATATTGTGGTTACCGGGTAGCTCGATGGATTTTTGTTGATATATTTTCTGGGTGATTAATTTTATGTTAAGCCGTTGTTCATGGAAATGAACTTTTACCAAACTTGATTGCAAATATTGTATGTTGAAAAATATTGAATCCTCATACGCACGCTTTCTGACTGGTAAAAATTATCATTTTTTTTTTAAACTTTCGAATCCTCTGATCAGGTGAATATGGATTTAAAAATACCTTATTCTCTAATGATGGGCCGCGCCTTGATTTTGAAGATCACTTTGAGGGGTTTCGTCGAGATCTCTAAAATTTTAAAATCTATCTACAAAAAAGCCCTTCTAAAAAACTCGTTTTGAAGTAACTCATTTAACATTGGACAGGGACCTAAAAACGACTTCTTTGTTAAGCGATTATTCGTTATAGCGAGGACCATTGTAAGAAGATTCTATTGTATAAGTGAAAGTATTGTACTGTACATTTCCAGGATCTGATCAGAAAGACGGCAAAGATTGCTCAAGTCCGGGCAGTGACGGCTCACAGAACCGTCCCCGTGGCCCGCCGCAGTCACAGGATGCTCGTCGCGCGGGTCGAGGGATAGTGAATCCACCCAGTGGCGGACAAATGACGTGGGGAGGCCCAGCGAGGTTCACTGGGCCGCCGGGAATGCCGCAACAGCACACCTACCAGGGAAACACTCGGGTAGTGACTAACAGCAATGTGCGACGGTCTGGCAGCACGTACGGTCCGCCGGGTAATTTCGCAGGGAATGCGCAGGGTCGGCGATTCTACCAGGAAGAGGAAGAAGACCAACGCCGCCGTTCTCAGATGACCAGTGGTAGCAGCAGCAGCGGTGGCGGTGGCGGTGGAGGAGGTGGTGGTGGTGGTGGGCAGCGACCCAGTTCTGGTCCTCATGCGATGAACCAAAGCAATCCGAACTATCACCACTGGGATGGGAACAAAGGACCTAGGTGAGTTAATGAAACATTTTTAAAATGTATTTACGGAAGTTGAGTTCGCAAACTTTGCACTAGGCCTGAAGGCCTGAATGCTTTATACTATTTTCATTGAACATTTTTTTTTTCATTATTGTGAAATTGAACTCTTTTAAAGTCAACGTTTGAGTCAGAATGCTCCAAACCATTCTGGAATTCGAAGCAAGCCTCTGTTCAATTGTTGAGACTTTTTATTTCGGAAGTACCGCTTACGAGATGTGTAGTACAGTATACTCATTTTATTGAAATTTTATAGCCACCTTCGCATTTAGCGAAATTATCACATAAATTCGGGGAAAACCCATATTTTCATTGAGGCATAGTTTTACATTGAAAAGAACTTATTGCCGTCAAAGGCGTCGATAAATTTTCAAGTACTGTATTGTTTGTACTGTGTTCTTAATTTTGTATTTGGTAGCGCTTGGACTTCCTACAAATTCATGCGTTTCGCCGATAAAGCTTAATTTTTCATAGCGACGGGGGTTCTCCTTAATTTTCATCTGGGAGAGCAAACATGTGAAAGTTTTCAGTAACTTATCAAATACTGTATTACTTCACTCAACAATGGCAGTAAAAGACTGAAGAATCTCGTGAACGAGCCCCTTATTCAAACAAAACTTGATAATTCGAGTTTCTGACGTTCGAATATTGTTGAAAAGTCTTCAGGCGAGTATAATAAAAAATTGAATATTTCACGACAGGAACACAATGAATACGAGTATGCAACCGATCCAAATTTAAAAGTATAGAAGTTCTACTATTGAAGATACGAACATTTTTATGAGTTATCTAAGTGCCGTTTCAAGAGCACCCTGGTCCTTTTTATTTGCGTGGCTAAATTATGAAATGAGGTTTAGTAAATTTTTCATTTGCTAGTACAGTACCTTGAACTTCCTAGTACTGTTCGTTGGACAGGTGTCGAAAGTGCCATAATGAGGGAATGGTCGTAGGATTGACCTCTCCCCCATTCGATAATTATTGGAAGTTATTTGTGGTTATAGATTTAATTTATTTTCTATTATCATTCTAGTTGTCTATAAACTCCTGTTGCTGTTGAAGTTGTGCAGAAGGGTTATTAAGCTAAAGGAATACTTGACGGCATAACCTACCTTGCTTCTATATTATTGTTGTTCGATATATTTTTTTCAAAACTTCATTTTAAAGATTATATTCTACGGTGTGAACTAAAGATTGGTTGTCCGGTTTTTGAATTAAGCACGACCTTGATCATTAATTAACGACTATGAGCTATGTATATAAAGCTGTGATATTTAGAACATGGATTTAATTTTTTTGCTATCCTTTCCCTTTTATCTGACGTTTTGGTTTAATTATGAGTCATACCGAGTTTCACGTTCGGAATTTGATGAGGAAAGTTATTTGCTGTTGTTCATGTGAGATACGAGATAATAATTTTAGAGAACGTTTGGGGGATGAATCTTGAAAAATGCAACCACTTTTTTCAGAAAGTGACAGGCTTTCCAACTTACCTGCATCTGGGATGCTATAAGTAATGCACAGTGTACTTACGAATATTTAAAAGCCTTTTTTAAAGTGAGCAGAACTAACGGCCCCAATCCATAATGTGCTGAATGATATTTTCAAATGTTGTAGATGGCTAACCGCTTGAAAACCATTCTAATGAAACTAATAAAAAATGTTTGGGTTGTCCTTTTAGTGCGAGATGTGTGTAAATATGGTACAGATATTGCTAATCATTCTTCGAGTAACGAATAATTCAGGAAGCTTTATTTCAAGGGATTCATTGCTTAAGAGTTCCACATATTGGCTGAATTATTTTCACAGAATGAGTCTAAATCCGTCTCTTGAGGCAACCAAAAAGTTAAATTCACACTTTTTAATATCCCTGTATTGTTTTTCTGTTTTAAGGTTTAACCAGAACGAACAACCTGCGCAACAATCAATGGCCCAACCCCCGCAGCAGCAGCACCAGCAGATGCAACCACCGCAGCAGATGCAACCGCCGCAACAACCCCCGCAACACCATCATCACAATTCCCCACAGCAGCAGCAGCAGCAACAGCAGCTGCAGCAACAACAACAACAACAACAACAACAACAGCAACAACAACAACAACAACAACAACAGCAGCAGCAACAACAACAACAGCAGCCGCATCCGGGTCCTCCTCAGCCGCAGCAAAACCCATCTCACCAGCAACACGAAACTTTCCAGAACAAGGAGAAAATGGACCAGTCCGGTCGCGGCTCGATCAAGAAGCTAATGGATGCGCCGGTAGTGGCTCCCTTGATTCCGGGCCCTGCCTTACTCTCTCAAAAGCCGCCGCTGATCGCCATGGAACCGTCGCGTGAGGCGATGAAACCGCCCCCACAACATCCACAACAACAACAACAACAACAGCAGCAGCCGCAGCAACAACAACAACAACATCCGCCTCCACAGCCACCGCCGCCGCATCACCCTCAACAGTACGGGAAGCCGGGAACTCCGAATGCACCTGCCGGGAACGCTGGCCAGAAGATTTTGGAGCGTCCGAATAGCAACGAAACGCCGCGAGTTGGGGCTGGCACTCCGGGTGCGCAGATAAGCGGGCCCATGGGGCAGCCGCCGATGCAGCAAGTGCCTGTGATGCAGATGGGACCGCAAGGATACCCCGTGGTTGGCGGATTCCGCGGGAATGGTCCGCCTCCCGTGGTCTCCTCACCTGGTAAGATAATGTCGCCGCATTTTTTTCGAGAGTGTCCGTCTTGAAGAATTTTGCAATTTATTTTGTCATCTAAGCGCTTTCACATTTTCCGGGCCTATAATTGCTTGAGAGGCAGAATTATTTAACATATTTCTTCGCGAACCGAACTGTATAAGCAGCACACGCATTTTGTTGTGAAATTAAATTCTTTTGGAATTTGGGGCGACTAACTCAATCCGTTACAGTGGTCGGTTTGTTCCTCACGAAAAAAAATGTATTCAAGGTCAAAATAAAGAAAATATGAAGAGGAAAAAAATGAGAAACTGACACTGAAACAAGTAAAGCATTAGGTAAAAGTACTGTAGTTGTGAGGAAAAATCATCGTTGGGAAATCACGTCGAAAGACCCAAGCGTGGAAATGCACTCCGTAATGAAGTGCTATTCACTCAAGATAATTTTGTTATTTAATTTCAAGATGCTTTTTGTAATTCTGCTAAACACGAGGCATCTCGAAAGTACTCGACTCGTGCAGTTATTTTAACGCGTGAGAATGAGCGCTGCAGTATATTTTAATTTTTTGTGTTATTGTAGAATCCCAGAATTACTTTGATCATTATATTGTATTTCCCTAAAAGACTTCCATTATGCTTTATTCAGTTGTTTACGGTTCGCCTTTTGTTGAACGCTGAACTTCAGTTGAGATTTTTCTATTTCCAATAAACGATATTATTCAATCGTATGTAATGTTCTGGTAAATCCGTTAAATAATGCAGTGAAAAGTTTTCAGTATGAAAAAAAGGGGTTTTCGAGGTATTAATTATTCGTCCGCGTGCGCAGGTTTACCTCAAGGACCTGGATTGATGCATCCAGGCAACGCTGCGCTGCAAGTAAATCAGCTTCAGCAACAATTCCAACAACTTGGACTTGTTCAAAGACCTGATGAACAACAAGCTGTAGTAAATCAACAAGTTTACGGCGTGCATTTGATGCAACAGCAGCGTCTGCTGCAAGCACAGCACCAGGTACTTGATTTAATCCTTTCCATTTCTAGATTTCATCTTGAGTTATATCCGTTGTATTGTTACTGTATCTGTAGGTCAGTTTACATTAATTATTTTGTCAGAACTTGGTGTCTAAATTAATCTTATGACGAATAATCGAAAAATTCGTAGATGAAAATTATATTGAAATTTTCAGCGACTGTCTTGGGAAAATAAACCGAGAATAATTGTTTTGGTCGAGGTTTTTAAAATTATTATTCTAGGAAGTTTGGGTTTCCATGTTCACTTGGGCCGTCCTTTTTGTTTTATCTTGAATTTGATGGTACTGTACGCACAACACGTACTTGTTCCTCGGATAAATTTCATGAATACTTCTGACGCATTTAATTTAGAATGAAACTAGTTATAGAAAGAGTTGAACATATTTTTTCTGCGATCTCAAATTCATGGGCACAATTGTAAGAATCTTGATGTACTGTATATTGAGAATGTTCGATTGTCGGAAATGCCTCTTCATGAATAAATTAAGCGTGACGTGAGTGCGTCTTAGATTCGCGAGCAATTTTGCTTCTTGTGCACAAACAAGAGGTCTGTATAATAGTCGAGTAAATGTGGTACGTGCTATTTTTAGAACAGTGTTTCTCCGAGTGTATCGTAAAAGATTTGTATCACGTTCATTTTTTATTCCTCGTGTTTGAGCGATCGGGAAAAATGTGGTTCTCTAAATTTCAGTCGCAGCAACAACACTCCCAACAGCAGCCTCAATTACAGCAGCCCAAGATGTCGGCCATGGCTCCTCCGCCAGGGTTCGGGCCGCCTGGTCTCCCCTCCTATTACCAGGCCTATGCTGCGCAACATGCCCAGGCGCAGGCCCAACAGGCGCCACCATTCCCCATGCCGCACCCGTCACTTGTGCAGCAACAACAATTGCAAGCCATCATCAATGCGACGCTGTCAGCTGCCGCCGCGGGCGTTCCTGGACCTGAGGCTACGTTGCGTGCCACGCTGAAACCCGGACTGGCCGTATACGCCAAGTACTGGGAAGACAATAAGGTACTGTATTGGCTTCAAGCGCGTTGCATTTCATTCAACTACAGTAAAATGGAATGACTGGAATCTCGTTACAACAAATCTCGTAATTATTGCATACGATGAGTTTATATTTCCGGTCCCTGTCCAGTGGACACAATTTTATTGATAATTTTTTTAGAATATACTGTATTAAACAAATATTTTTTTTGGTTTTAAAGAATTTTTGTTTACAACTAAGCTTTTAAGGCCCCAAACGCTTCTTGAGAGATTCTACTTTACTGAAATTGTGGTAAACTTTTGTTTGACAAAGAGTCAATGTCGATTATAATGATGAATACAGTATTGCAAAATAGTCATCGTGCAACGAGATATATATTCTTGCTGTATCTGAAGTCATTGAAGTTCATGTTGGAAATAAAATGAAATCTATGTCAGAGTTCGGCTGTTTTCTTGTCTTATACGCATACATGATAAATGGAGAATTCGTGAGGGTTTCTGTAAGTTTGCTCATCTTCAGAAATGTTTTCGAGCAGTTCAGTATTCGAGGAATCCTGCGCAATTTTTTTCTATGAGTCGCGTGTAACGTGGCCGTTCGGATGGTATTTCATTGAAATAATGAAATTTCATTACGGTTTTCTGTAAAATAATTTTTGAATTTAATTTTCTGTTTCGATAGTATAGGCTATAGTCCATATCAAGAATATAAACACAGTACAGTACAGTATTTCCAAACAATAACATTTCCTTTATGTTTTGAACTACAGTATCGATAAAAATTGGGAAAATTATTCGCATTCTCGTATGCATAGTACAGTACGTAATTTTTTAAAGATTTAAACCTTACGACTTGAAAATTGTTTTGTACAGTGCACTTATTTTTCTGGTTCACCCAGTTCTTTTTTTTCATTTTAACGGTGTTTCGTTTCCGAATCTTTCTTTATTACATCTTGCGTTACGTTTTTCTCTTTTATTTTGAGTTTTTCTACGTTCAGTCCGAATCAGATTCAACTCTAACTTTGCCATTAATTTTCGTCGAAGAAAGAAAAGATCCTGATGTGTTTTCTGATGCTGCATGTAATTGTTTTTTGTTGTCTGTTTCAGTTTTACCGTGCTCATATCGTCCAGATGACGGAGCGTGGTTGTCAAGTGCATTTTACGGACTACGGGAACGTGGAAGATGTGGCGCTGAGCGATATCGCGCTGGCGAATGCGGATCCATTTGCCGCGATGTTGGCGGCCGCCGCGGCCACTGCTCAAAGTCCGCCTCCTGCATCAGCCCCGTCATACTTCTACTGAACAACCCCGGAAGGAAAAAATAAATGTCCGATGCAAATATTGAAAAAAAAGAAAACAGAAGAGGGTGGGGCAAGGAAAGTTGAAAACAAAAAAGTGGCCTGGGCCGGAAGGAAAAGAAAGGAAATAAAAGCGGAAGAAGAATCCGAAGAAGAACGCGAGAGAGAAAGAGACAGAGGGATGTCGCGGAGAAAATGGGGTTAATTTTTGCAGAAAAAGTAAATCCGGCTGCGAATTATTTTTTAGTTCGTCTTCCTTATTTTATTTTATTTTTTGTTGTTCCAGGGACTTACATTTATGTCTCGAGGATTAACTCGCGACGATCTTGTACCCTTCTCTCCCCGCTTCCCCCGCTGCCTGGTTTTCAAGTACTCCGTCGTGTAGGAATTCGTTTTAGCGTGTCAGTGTTTTGCTCGGAATGGTTTCGTACCGTTTTAAGGAAAGAACCGTCGTCGCTTCCGGGCTTCGTTCCCTCGGGATGTTTGGGGGCCTGGGTCATTCGCCGCTGAATGCTCGGCGGTGTTTTTTTAATTTATCGCGTCCTTTTTGCGCGGGGGAACGAAGCGAATGGGATTTTTTGCGCTGCTTCTTCGCCGGTTTGAAAAAGAAGTGAATCCTGGAAAAAAAGGTTCTTTATGCCTAATTTTTGAGTCGCGGAATTTTTCCACATTATCCCTGTTCCGATTATTTATTTTATTTTTTTTGCACGTAGCCGGTTCCAACGTTGTTGATGTTGTCTTGGATGTGTTTTATTTTTCTTGTTGTGTTCTTTCCTCATGTTCCTCTTATTTCGAATGTGAAGAAAGGAAACAATTCGCTTCGGAGGAAGAGAGGATTTCCTGTTTTAAGTCAAGCCGGTCAAGAAAAAAAACGAAACAAATGAAAAGAAACTTTCGAATATTAAAGAGGGGAGCTGTAACTGGACAAAACCGTATTTGTCCCGTGTTTTATTATTCCCTGAATTTCGTTTAGTTCTTGAAATTCCGTTTCTTTTCTTGATTTGGAAAAAACCGCATTTCTTTTCAGGGGGGTAGTAGGAGAAAAGTTGATGCAACTATGGACGAGCAACTCGACATGGAGTTTTGGGGTCTCCCTGAGGTTATTTTGGCGGTAAGGAGAAAAACAATTGGTTCCTTTTGTTCCTGCTGTTATTTTTTTTTCACGTACTTTTGAAGCAATACGAAATTTTTGGCGTGAAGAGAATGTTCCGATGGCAAGCGGATTGCTTGTTGCTTGGGAATGTGATGAACGGCGAGAATTTGGTGTTTTCTGCGCCCACAGCTGCAGGTATATTTCAACCAAATTTCGTATCCTCGGAAGGGTTCTTGAGAGCGATTGGAATTTTACAGGAAAGTCATTGGTTGCTGAGATCCTTATTCTGAAAAGGGTTTTGGAAACCAAGAAAAAAGCCTTTCTGATTGTTCCCTTTATATCTATGGCGAAAGAAAAAGTTGCTCATCTACAGGTTAGTGAAAATCCACCAGTCGAAATATCGGTCGTTCATTGCTTTTTTATTCAGTGATCGTTGATTTGTGCCAGTAAAGCATTAGGATTCGGATCATCCGAGCTTTGATGAAACGTGCGATTTTTTAAATCGAAAGAAAACGAATGTGCCTGTTGAATTTAATTTTTAACTTCGCTTTTACCCTTTGAATTTCTATTCTCATGCAGATTCGGTTCGAATTGACACCTACATGAAATGTATGAAAGAATATTTTGATGAAAATGAAGAATTAGTTCAAAATTGGATTATTTGTGTTGGGGACTTGAATTATCATTTTCCGAAGTTCGATTATCTCGCTACTGCTCGTGTATTACGGAATTCGAAGGAATATTGGAGTTGGAGCTCATTTAATAAAGTATCGTCGTCTTGGATCATACTTTCCGATGTTGAAATATTAACGGCATTTGATTATTGAAGCCGTGACAGATTAATTGAACTTCCAGTAACGAGCCATGCTATTGTCCTAGTCGTATGTTTATAATCTCTAACTATTGAGGTTGGGTGGGAAGATCCGTTTCTTTTTTCTTCTTTTTTTATTCCCATCTTCGGGAAATGTCTGTTGCCGATGTTGGAGCTTCTGTTTCAGAATTTACGCGTTGTTTCGTTTAATGCGGTATTTCTGTCTGTGTTCACAGACCCTATACCGTAATGTGGATCTGAGAGTTGGTGGCTTCATGGGAAGTACAGCGGCTCCAGGAGGTTTTAAGAATTGTGATATTGTTATCTGTACCATAGAGAAGGCAAACAACATCATTAACAGGTAAATCACCTTCAAAGCGCTTCCGTCAATTAAAAAATCCCTCGTAATATTTGTCGTGGAATTTTCCAAATGAAACCATAGTAGCAGCTGTCTTGCTTCATGAAATGCTTTCTGATGAACTGTTCATTATTGCTAGACTTGAATTATCTTGTACAGCGTGATACCTTTAATATCGAAAATGTTACGCACATTCGGTGTTAATATTAAAATAAGTCTGGGATGCGTCAGATTACAGTATTCTTGTTGCTGCACTTTTGCCGTCCGTACTGCAGTTTTTTGATATGCAGTCAAGGGATGGTCTTCTGCCGTACAATTAAAGCAACAATTTTAGAATTATGTTGGAAGAATCGCCGGAATCTTGGTACTTCAACGTCCCGTGAAAATCGCAGGAATTCGGACATAGTTTATGAAGCCTTATTTCGAAAGGTGCTGATTAAGAGCTGCAGAAAGGAATGCTAATTTATGTTGAGTATATATTTCCCGGAATTTTTTCAAAATTGGTTCAAATACTGTACTTAAGAAATGAACCAACCGGTAATGTCGAAAATGTTGTGAAAGTAATTTATCCGCCGTGCTCCGAATTGTATTTTTTGTTCGAATCAAAATTTGATGCAAAAAGTCTGGCCTAATTTTCGATATCATTTTGACATTACTGATAACTCCAATATTGATTACAGAATTGCCTTCGCCGTCTAACTTGATCGTGTAAAATGTCAATGTACTTGTTTTGAGAGTGGAAAGTTTCCTGTGATGATTCAATTTAAAAAGATGATCGAATTTACTAAGGTAGCGTGATCATATTTCGTAGAACTTGAATTACCTTAGTAAAATTGTTTGTGCATGGCGTTCTGCTTGAAGGATTTCATCAGTTTTAATTCTCCGCATTTGTTTCGATGCACATGTTCAGGTTCATCGTGCTGGTAAATACAAGTATTTGATTCTGAAACACGTGCTATTGCCCGCTTCGGAATTATTATTTTTTCACTGTTTGATTGATCATTGAGAGACATTAGTTTGAGTTTTCGTGCAAACTGTTTTCCTGAGTAATGGAAACGTGAGGAAATATCAACGAGTGATCAAGGAGGTGTGCAAACGTTGTGACGGAGAGTGGTGACTAATTTTTTGCAGGTTGATGGAGACGAATAGGATGAACGAAGTTGGGATCGTGGTAGTCGACGAAATCCATCTCTTGTCGGATCCGTCGCGAGGATATCTCTTGGAACTCCTCTTGACCAAAATTTTATATCATTCCGCGAAGGATCGAGCGGATGGAACTTTCTCTGACAATGTTCAGATTGTGGGCATGTCCGCGACTCTGCCTAATCTCGACGTTGTTGCGAACTGGCTCAAGGCTCAGATTTACCGAACCGATTACCGCCCGGTTCCCTTGACGCAGTTCATGAAAGTTGGGCGATTTATTCACGACGCCAGTATGAAGGTGTTGCGGACATTGGGTGACTTGGCTTTGACAGTGAGTGTATTTTTCTAGAATTTTCAACACGTCCGGACAATTATTCTCAGACGTTGGCCATAATACGAGGGTTGTCCCAGTTGGACGCAACCTTTGATAATTTTAGAGTACAGGTAGTGTGATGGTAAAAAAAAAATGATATAAGCTATGATATGCCGTAATGTTCTAAGATTCTGCGATTTTTTTCTGATTTTCAAAGAAGTTTTTCAATTTACTGCATGATGATGAGGTAAAATTTCCCAGTTACTGCTTGAAATCCCCACCCATGTCACATGTTGCTAAAAATTTTTCAGGATCGACAAAAATTATAAATTTATGTTGATTGAGCATTATCTAAAATGGAGAGAAAAATCAAGGTTAAAACAAACAAAAAACGCAATTGTTTAAACTAGCCTAAAAATTTTTTAGCATCCCTGTGACATGGAGTTTAATTTATCCTGCACTAAACGGAAAAACCTTTGTAAAATCCGAAAAAAATCCAAGAACCCTAGAGCGTTATGGGCTATGTCATGATCGTTTTTGACAATCACAACTACTCAGAAAATATCGAAAGTCGCATTCAACAGGCACAACCCTTAATCTTTCTCCTTAGAATATTTTCTGTAATCTTTAATGATAACAGTAAATGAAGAAAACGTTGCATATGTTCGATTTCATGTCACTCCGGTCACAGGAAAAATGCGACCGTGAGTTGAATGCCTCGCATACACTTCGCTTATTTCCCCTTGAACAATTTGTCAGGCAGGTGTCGCCTGAATTTTTACAAAACTAAAATGGAATAAAAACCTCAACAGCAGCACATTGTGAAGCTCGAAGCAAAATTACCTCAGCTATTACGAAATAAGTTGACTGAAACGAACGTGACCTAATTTAACCAAACTTGATGCCTGATGCATTTTAACAAATTTCGATTGACACGTGCATATTGACGAAAAAAAATCGCCGAATTAGGAAAATTGAATATTCAAGGGGTATGAGCGAATGTTCTAGCTTCTCTCGCTGTTTTTAGATGATATTTATGTTTTTCCCTGGGCACAATTGAATTATCTTGACTATTTTAAATCATCTTGGGAGATACTGTATTAAATGACCTCGGGGGAATTTTAAATCATCTTCGGAGAAAAAGTTGTAGTTTTCAATAAAATGGAATCTTTCCTGTTTTCTTAGGACGACACCGACCAAGTAGTGCAAGTATGCATAGAAACGGTGGTTGAGGGACATTCTGTTCTGGTGTTCTGTCCATCCCGGGACTGGTGTGAGAAGCTGGCCCAGAAGATATCCAAAGATTTTCTGCGCATCGGCTCAGCGAAAGAATCCTCGCTTCCGAAAGTGTTGATTCCCGTACGAGAAGCCTTGCGGAGGCATGTTGATGCAGAACGATTAGGAACGATTGTGCGGGAGTTGAAAGATTCTGCGGCTGGATTAGATGCCGTGTTGAGGCACACAGTTCTGTCTGGCGTTGCATTCCATCATGCTGGTGAGCGTGATTCAACCTTCTTGTCGTTCACTTTGACAAGATGTATGTACAGTATATATATTTTTTTCCGATTAGGCTTAACTGTCGAGGAACGGGATATTATCGAAGATGGATTTCGAGGATGTGTAATCAAGGTCCTTGTCGCAACGTCGACTCTTAGTTCTGGAGTCAATCTTCCCGCTAGACGCGTGATAGTGAGATCACCGTTTGCTGGTGGAAATCAGCTCCTGGATTCTTTGGTGTATCACCAGATGATTGGCAGAGCTGGAAGAACAGGAGTTGACACAGTCGGTCAGTACAGCATACCATCCTTAAGGATGCTAATGAAATGGGACTTCAGGCCGGGGTTATTTACAACGCGATCCTGCTTTTCTCTTCATCTTATCACTGAAACGTCTGACCTTCATCGATGAAACGTCGGGTGTCACTGGAATTATTCAAAGGATTTAGAGAAGAAAAAAATTAACCAACAAAATTTGGACTCGTCCGGCCGAATCCACGTTGAATAATTGAACCGAAACTGAACTAACGTAAGAGAATGTAAGTTTTAAATTTTGCAAAATCGGATGATCCAGGCTACAGCTTTTCTGCATTGAAGAAAATCGCGCAGTTTGGGGGCTTCAAGTGAACAATAATGCTGTACCTGTACTTCTGTGATAAATACCTGTATACCTTTTTTAATGTTAGAATACATTTTTAAAACAAACATTCCCTTTCTATTGCGGCGTGTTTTTCTCAATGTAAGCAAAGAACTTTAATTTTTGGGGTACGATTTTCCCCTGATGATTTTTTGCGAATATTTTCTGTATTTGTTATCGGAACCAAAGAACAGTTGTTTTTGTGTCGTTTTTTATGCAGGTGAAAGCATTTTAATGTGTAAAGACACGGAAAAGGCGGCTGGGATCTCTTTGATAACTGGTGGCATGAGACCCGTCACTTCGTGTTTGAAGCGTGATGGTGAACGTCTTTCATCTGCACTGAAACGAGCTATACTAGAAGTCGTTGTTGATGGTGTGGCGAGTACTTTGGAAGAATTGCGTCAGTACTTGCATTGTACCTTGCTTTGTGCGCTCGTGGGAACGGATCTGGAGTCGGGATTGAACAGATGCGTTGATGAGCTGATTCTCGCCGAATTGATCAGGTGAGCGTCAACTTTATCGTGAAGAGTGACGGCTGAGAGAATTTCCTTGATGGGGAAGAAACGAGAGGGATGATTATTCGGGTGTTGAGTTTTCTTTCCAGCGTTATTGCTCGAAAAATGTTTAATATTTAATCGCGTCAATCTTTTGCTGGAGAGAATGTCTGTCGAATGCTTTTATTCTTTAGATTACAAAAAAATGCAGACGGTAGTAAAGCTGATTTAGTGCCAACAAAATTTGGAACTGCTGTTGTTACAGCAGGGTTGCCACCGGACGAAGGCGCTTCTTTGTACAGTGAATTGGAGAAGGCGAGGCGTGGGTTGCTGCTCGAGAATGACCTTCATCTATTGTACCAGGTGTGTGCATGTAACACTTCTTGCTGTCTGCTGTTAAATTGTGTTCCTGGAATGCGTTTCCCGCAAGAATAACTACCCTGAGAATAATTCATCTGGGAAATTAAAAATGAAATTTTCGTTGGTTTTCTTGAGACAAATAATTTCTACTTTTTCTTTAAATCCTCGTGAAAACGCTTTCGAAATTTTTGGAGAAAAGCTTGAAAGGTGAATATTTTCCAAACTATGATGAAATGAAAAAAGGAGAAATGTTCTCAGACTTTAAATAGGTTAAAAGATTGTCTTCGGAATCGTGAGGTTTCATTTTATTGCTTCGTTTGATTTACTTTCTGAAAGCTCACTGTGTACGTTCGTATGGTTCTCACAGGTGATCCCGTTGTCGACGGTTTCTCAGATACAAAAGCTCGATTGGTTCGTTTATCGTTCAATTTGGCACGAACTTCCGGTCGGGTTGCAGCGTGTCGGCCATGCTGTTGGTATCGACGATGGATTTCTTTTTCGAAATCTCAGAGGATTTTCGTGCAATGGACTCCAGGTGGGTCTTTCCTTGCAAAATGTCGACATTTTTGTTGACATCGTGACATGATTCGCAGGTTCCCCTGACGTTTCCTTGTTACCTCGAAAGTTCAAAATATATGGGTTAATATGAAAAAATACGTGGAAAATTTCTAAGTAAAATTAAATACTGTGCGTACACTTTTCTGAGTGCTTAGTACTCGTGTAATACTGTTTTAAGACGCATGAGATAAAAATATGCTCTTCGTGAGATGTGAGAAATTTAAGAGCGTATTCAACATTAAATGTCAAATTTCAAGGCATAACATAGTTTTAGGGCCATTTAAATTTCCTGGTGTGTGCATGTAACACTTCTTGCTGTCTGCTGTTAAATTGTGTTCCTGGAATGCGTTTCCCGCAAGAATAACTACCCTGAGAATAATTCATCTGGGAAATTAAAAATGAAATTTTCGTTGGTTTTATTGAGACAAATAATTTCTACTTTTTCTTTAAATCCTCGTGAAAACGCTTTCGAAATTTTTGGAGAAAAGCTTGAAAGGTGAATATTTTCCAGACTATGATGAAATGAAGAAAGGAGAAATGTTTTCAGACTTTAAATAGTTTAGAAGATTGTCTTCGGAATCGTGAGGTTTCATTTTATTGCTTCCTTTGATTTACTTTCTGAAAGCTCACTGTACGTTCGTATGGTTCTCACAGGTGATCCCGTTGTCGACGGTTTCTCAGATACAAAAGCTCGATTGGTTCGTTTATCGTTCAATTTGGCACGAACTTCCGGTCGGGATGCAGCGTGTCGGCCATGCTGTTGGTATCGACGATGGATTTCTTTTTCGAAATCTCAGAGGATTTTCGTGCAATGGACTCCAGGTGGGTCTTTCCTTGCAAAATGTCGACATTTTTGTTAACATCGTGACATGATTCGCGGGTTCCCCTGACGTTTCCTTGTTACCTCGAAAGTTCAAAATATATGGATTAATATGAAAAAAATACGTGGAAAATTTCTAAGTAAAATTAAATGCTGTGCGTACACTTCTCTGAGTGCTTAGTACTCGTTATTATGACAAAATTCTGCGTACTCTATTTTTATACGAGAAGCACTCTACACTCTTTAAATTCTCGCATAAGTTGTAATTTACAGTTTAAAGTTCCGTATTGTATCAAGATCCCGGTAAATTTAAAGGAAGAGGGACCCGGGGTTGAAGTGCGACTTCAAAAGGGCTCCACAAACCTAAGAGTGTAAATCTTGCTATATTTTCAAAGTTTTAAAACTGCCGATATATTATCTCAGTTCACAGAAAAGCGGATGATTCACGTCAGATTTTATTCGGCGCTCGCGCTGAATGAATTAGCAAATGAGGTTCCTTTGAAGGAAGTTGCAGAAAAATACGGATTCAACCGAGGTTACCTGCAAAGTTTGCAGCAATCAGCTGCCGCGTATGCAGGTTCGTTTTTTTTTTCTCGCCAAATAGTGGAAAATTTCAATAACAGTCTGGTATTTCGTGGCTTTTTCGTGGTTGTGGGTTTCCCTCTCCAGTATGTTTTCATTTCTGTTTTATTTTATTTTCATCGAAAGGAATGGTATCTGTCTTCTGCGAGAAGCTGGGCTGGAATAACTTGGAACTGCTGATCTCTCAGTTTCAGTCTCGCCAAGTGAAGCCACAGTGCTCTCTCAACACACTAGACTACGATCATTGCAGCGACCTGTCAGCTGAGCGCTCTCCGGAAAAACTACTGCCTTAGCTTAGCACAAGCCTGAACCGAAGGTGCGTAGGACGACGTATTGAAAAACTAATTGTGAAATCCGCGCCTTTTTCCAAGTGAGTTAAAATGTTTCATAATCACTGCTGATTCCAGAAGTATCGAGGGTCTAGGCACTCTAGGCGGTACTGTGCATTGATCACTGGGATGCCTTCGTCGAAGGTTCAAAAATCGTCTTGAGAGGTTTTCCGTCCCACGTTTTCAAGAGTATGAAATATTTTCTCGGTTGGTTGACGTAATCCAGGCCCGTGGGATTACATTATTTGAAGTCTAGCCTCAATATGTATGATTTATTTTTAGAAATTCAAATCCCCAAGATAATCGTAGCAACAAATAAACTGTATCTTGAACAACAGTGAGATGATCCAGTTTGAGGATAAATTATTATTCTTTTGAACCATTCATTAATCTCTGTTGATAATTTTTCTTGTTTCTTCTTGAGAGATGAAAGTATTACGAATCCCAGTAAATGTCTTGCTTTGAAGATTCTAGAAAGACGACACTTTTTCGTAAATTACAATAGGATTGAATGAAAGCTGCTTCGCTTTTATTGTATTCAAAGAAAAAAACGTTGGAAGAGCGAATAGGTTCGTTTTGACAAGAATGTGTTTGTATTTTCAGAGGAAAAACTGTGTGGAGACAAGGACTGGGTTTCATCCCTATTTCTCGTGCTGCTGCAATAATTATTCAAGAGGCCAGAGCTGTCGTCGAAAGATGCTTTCACTTCGGTGTCACGAGAGAGTTGTGTGATCTGATGCTAGTAACGTCGCTGGACAGTCGACTCGCGAGAGGCCTTTTTGATGACGGAATCGAATCGTGTTCGGACTTGGCTTCCACGCATCCTGCTCGTATTGAAAAACTAATTGTGAAATCCGCGCCTTTTTCCAAGTGAGTTAAAATGTTTCATGATCACTGCTGATTCCGGAAGTGTCGAGGGTCTAGGCACTCTAGGCGGTACTGTGCATTGATCACTGGGATGCCTTCGTCGAAGGTTCAAAAATCGTCTTGAGAGGTTTTCCGTCCCACGTTTTCAAGAGTATGAAATATTTTCTTGGTTGGTTGACGTAATCCAGGCCCGTGGGATTACATTATTTGAAGTCTAGCCTCAATATGTATGATTTATTTTTAGAAATTCAAATCCCCAAGATAATCGTAGCAACAAATAAATTGTATCTTGAACGACAGTGATATGATCCAGTTTGAGGATAAATTATTATTCTTTTGAACCATTCATTAATCTCTGTTGATAATTTTTCTTGTTTGTTCTTGAGAGATGAAAGTATTACGAATCCCAGTAAATGTCTTGCTTTGAAAATTCTAGAAAGATTTACACTTTTTCGTAAATTACAATAGGATTGAATGAAAGCTGCTTCGCTTTTATTGTATTCAAAGAAAAAAAACGTTGGAAGAGCGAATAGGTTTCAAAACTGTTCTTACACAAACATAAAAGTCTCCTTTTTGACACACCTCTGTTCCTGACCCAAAGTAGGGATAAAGAGCACGACGACGTTATTAATAAGTTCTCCGGTCTCGACAGCAGCTTTCTACGCTGGGGAGGCAAATGAATGTCCGTTGGTCCGCCGATGAAACAAAAAGTTCGACTGACGCATCGAATCATTCGGTGCTCGATTCAGTCGAAGATGACGACCTCGTATCTGAATCAGTGCTGGAACAAAAGGCATCTGTGACAGCTGAAAATCCATGACCAAGCCGCCTCCTACCTTTGCTTCACCTAGTTTACTTGTACCGCAACTACAGTCTTGTCTAAGAACGGCGGCAAACATACCTATCACAGGGAGTTCTTAAGGGATGAGTACCCTTTAGTAGTAAAGATTCTAATCGAAAACCCGATGAACTTTGTGAGCAAGCATCCGGAGAAAATATTGAGGCGTCACATGTCATCGAGGATTTAGGCTCGACGTGGTCAAGACTTCTGAATGATGCTACGGATGTAGATTTTTCAATGTGCTCAGTTTCAAAGTCGAAAGCTGCTGAGACGAAATCTGTTCCTGGATGCCGCGACGTAGGTGAGTTTAGCGGGTTTTCTCGATGTACAGTACACAAAAAATTTGGTGTCGAGGATTTAGGCAACGCCTGCTTTACATTCAAGAAGAATGCAAAGCAAGTTCAGTATCGAATAAAAAAATGACCTTCAACAGATACTTTTTTTATTCTAGAGAGGTCGCTTTATTTTTGGAGTAAAAAAGGCTTTCAAATGCATCTTGGGGGTAAATTTCAGATGTAAATGGAATTAAAATTGATTAACATACAGTAAAATTTTGTGAGAAATTCCTCAAGAATGGACTTCAATGAAAATTAAATGATCATAATTTTAAAATTGAAGATCATCTTTGTTCAAATTCGAAGTTCTCTCCATTTGAATCTTTCGTTATTGGCAAAGGATTTTTGAAAGTAAATTGATTATTATCAAACAAATTTAATTTTTCTGTTCCTTAGGTCTTCCTTGTGCAAGTGCCATTGGAACCCCGCCCTCGGATGAGGAAGTTGTGGTTTTCGTTATTGGCAAAGGATTTTTGAAAGTAAATTGATTATTATCAAACAAATTTAATTTTTCTGTTCCTTAGGTCTTCCTTGTGCAAGTGCCATTGGAACCCCGCCCTCGGATGAGGAAGTTGTGGAAAAATCCCCGATAAATCATCATACCGATAAAAATCTGACGAAGAGAAGAAAAATTCCGAGCTCCGGACACGAGTCGGTAATTTCTCTCCCTATAAGCCAATTCCCTGGCAACGACACGATTTCAGAAACAATGATGCAGTACATGCTGGAGGTAGATTTTGATATCCGATCACAAGTCGACGCTTCGAACGAACCTAAAGAATCGGGGAAATATTTCGAGGGAAAAAACCCTTTATCTGGAATTCAGATGCCGAATGCCGGACAGCGAACAGAGGAGGAAAAAAATCCCACGAAAACTCCCTGCGGAAAGTGTGTGAATCAAGCAGAAAATTTAGAATTAAACATGGGGGACGATTCGCTGTTCTCGTCTGTGTCTGGCAGCATGATGGAGAAACTGTGCGAAGTGGTCGATGCAGCGTGTGATTCCCAGCTGAATAATCCCGCTGGAAACATATCTTTGAATCTCCCAGTGAACACACCTTTCCCGCGAGGATCATTCCCGAGTTCGACAATTCCGTCTGCGAGTCAAGAACTCAAGGATTGTTCCAAGTTTCTCCTGGAGTTTGAGGAACCCTTCTCATTTTTTGAAAAGGAAAACGTTTGTCCTGCGGATTCAGCTAATGGCGAATGTCAGCCAGCACTTGCAGCCAAAACAAATTCTGAAAACGTTCGTAAAATCGAGAGCGACGTTTACGAGTTGTCGACGCTCTCTGACAGTGTTCTGCAGCAAATTATAACGTGTGATGAGGCACAAGAAAGATGCGTGCGGAGTATGAAAACGGCCTGTTTGGCTGTTGGTACCCCGGATAATGTAAAGCGCTTAAGGAATCGATCTGTGTTGATCAAACACTCTCCCGATGCAGGGGGAACGATATCAAACAAAGAGAACGGAATAGCTGGTGCTAAACGGGACTCAGGTTAGTTGGATTTACCCGAAACCGGTTTTTTTTTTGTTTTTTGAAATTTGATATCTAGTGAAGATAGGTTTTCAAAAATGTGTAATCCGACTCGAACTGCAAAAAATAGTCGAATAAGCTAATATGTTGCATCGGTTCGAGAAAAAAACGGAACGGAATTTGTTATAGTGCTTACTGCTTACGGGGCTTTACAAATAGCTTCCCATGCATGTACTGTACAATACTTCGTTGTGCAGTTCTTTTTTATTGCCAAAATGTGTCCTCATCTTTTGTGGTAATGAAAAGAAGGCTGGTTGTTCGTGCTGTTCGCTTCTTTCTCCAAAAGCTCAACGTTGCCGAGGACTGTCCCTTCATGAGTCGTCTGAATTGATGATCTAATCATGAAAAAAAAATAATCGCCGAACGCAACAGCAAAATCAGACTGAAACGATGTAATGTAACCCTTTACATTATTACAACATTACCCAGCTCTTAATTTAAAGGGAATTGAATAGCATCCGTGGACATGTGTCGTTCAACTTAGACGCATATTAAAAGAACCAGCGAACGTATGCCCTGAGTATAATGCAATATTTTATTTTTATTTTTGGAAAGGTGCTCGTATACCGCGTTTGCGAAAATCGTCGGAACAGGTCAAGAGGACCAGTTTGAAGAGAATTTCGTCATCTTCTCCAATTTTTTCTCCATCGCCGGAGGTTGTGAACAACAGCGCAGAAAGGAACCGGTCTCATCGGCGCTTTCGGAAAAAGCGTCGTCACGGCGTTGGCGAGCAATCCACTTTGGGGAAAACTTGTTCAAATTCTGAAATTTCGAACGAGTTTGAATCAAACTTGCAGATTTTGATGTCGGCCGAAAATTTTTCTCTGAGTATCGCCAGCGTCGATGTACCGATTGTGCCTGGGAACGTTGCCGCGTCCAGACAAATCGGGAAACGTTTCAGGCATGAAATGTCGTCTGTGACTGCTGATAAACAGCTTGTCGTAGACTTGCATCCTGGTACGCGAAAGCGAATTCTGGGGATTGTTTTTTGCGTCGATATGGAGGAACGAGCGAGGATTTTGGATTTGGATGCTTGCGAGAACGTTGAGTCACGGTTGGTGGCTTTGAAGAAAGCGTTGAAGCGTTTGAAAGAGCAGAAAAGTCTGGCTGTCATGTTTGATGCGAGTACCAAGTTGAGAGTGATTTGGAAAGCGTTTTGTCATCCTTCTGAATTTCCCGGTTATGGCGAAGTCAGTCTACGAGTTGTTGATCCGAAGTTGGCTGCTTGGTACGGCGACACTGGAATTGGTGAAATGGACCTGAAAAGTCTTGTAAGTACTGGGGTTTTTTAAACTGATTGATTCAGTGTCCCATTTAATCTCCTCGAAGGCGTATTTCTGGAAATGTTAGTCTTTTTCCAACATCTGATATTACCATGTGATTTCGTTTCCTGTAGTCTTCAGAAGAGGTTCTGAATAATCACATTGAATCAAGGAAATTCTCGGTTATTCAATGCAAATATTTCTTTAAATAAAAAGGGTCCTGGCATTTAGAGATGGATTTGAATTCGAGAAAGCTAACTTTATTATTTTTATGTAATTTTCCTTGCAACTGAATTTTTTTGTTCTCCAAAGACTACCTTTGTAAATCCAGGATTAGTGCTAATGAAAAAATAACGGAAGACGATTATCGTTTTGTTCATAATCAATTTGAAGCCTCTGGGTTACGATAAAGTAGTTTTTTCGTGATCTTACTTGAATTTTTTATATTTTTTCAAACTTTTTCATCAAGTGCACGATGTATTTGAGAGACGATGGAGAGATCCTTGAAGCACGGGAACAACTGGATACTTCAGAGGCGACCTCTGCCATCTGTTTAGCTGTAGAAGAAGCGCAACTTGTCAACAAACTGTGGAAGAAGCTCAAAACTCAAATCATGGTTACCGAAGCAAAGTGTGGATTCTTCGGTCAGTAATTAATTGCAAAATGTTAAGAAATGTAAAAAAAAAAAGGTTTCTTGAGATCTCGCGCGGCTTGAAAAAGTTATTGAACATTTTATGATCAATTTATAAATTTTGCGTATCGTTTGCTCATACGAATAAATTTTGAGCTTACTCGATATCGGAAAAGATTTATTTCACAAGCCGCGATTTTGGAGGAATTTTCCTTATTCATGCTTGTAATTTCCACTGCTGAATACTACTTGAACATAAATGATGATTTAAGGGCTCTCTGAAGAATGTTTTAATCAATCTTGTGACACGCCTTGTTTCAGTGACGTCTTGCATGAAATTATAGAAGATCATAAACCTCGAAAAGGATGGAAGTGGGTACAAAAGCACTGTTGGTCATTTTCTTCTATCAGTTATCTTTTTTTTTGTAGCAGAATTGTGTGGAAGGAATTTTTTGGAAGAAGAAAAAACTGAAGGGGGTAAATGAGGTTAAAAGGAAAGAATTAATTATGCGAAGAAATCGGACAACCTCTTAGTTGGGTTATCAAAAATCGAGACAACTGCGAGGTTTCACTCTCAACGATCATGGAAGAAACTGATTTCATTTTCTTTTGATGTAGATGTTGAATCCAAAGCGTTAGTAACCACTGCGAAGTTGGAATTCAATGGATTCGGTTTTGATATTCGCCGATGCATGGAACTTCGCAAGTGTCTGGAAAATAAGCGGGAAGCTGTGACGAAACTTGCTCACAGATCCGCCGGACGAGTTTGGAATCTCTCTTCTCGAAGGGCAGCATTGCAGGTTGACAATATGGAATATTCAAATTTATTTTCTTGATGCTAACCTTCTTTTACAGGTTCTAAACGAGGTTTTTTCTGGACTGCAAACATCTGAAAAAATCAATCTGACCGTAAATAGCTTGGAAAAGGAAACTCTACAAACTTTGACGGAATATCATCCTCTTCCGGAGTATATTCTCAAGTGGAGAAAAATTGGAATGGCACTGACTCAGGTTAGTGCCCTGATAAGTATTGAGTATGTTTCGCGTATTGAAAGGTTTTTGTGCCAGTTCTGTTGAGCACGTAAAAATCGGTCAATATGTCATCGAAATATTCGGCTTTTATTTTTTAAATTCATATATTCACCCTAAAATGATTCGTGGATTCAATGGCGACCCTTGTTTCGAAACCATTATAAAATACGTAATTAAAAAGGAATGTGCACATGTCAAAAGTCAAATACAAGTACTCGTATATTAAATTAATTAAATATGCTCCTATTTAAATTTAGCGACCTTTTTTTTTTCGTCTGCAATTATTCTTTGTTTGATGCGGAAATTCTAAATCATCGCACCAATTTTCCTTCTAGTTCGTGATTCCATTCTTGTCGTGGAAAAACCAAGTGCGACGACGCGGTGACGTAGTACGATTGAATGCCGATTCGACCAGCGTGCACCCAGATTGGGAATTTTTCTCAGCACTTGGCCGTCTGTCCACCCGAGACCCCAATTTGCAGACAATTTACAAAGATTTTGACGCTGCTGGGGATACGTTCTCTTTGCGGAGCATGTTCGTCGCAAGGCCAAAAGGGGAAGCGATGTTGGTGGCAGGAGATTATTCCCAGATGGATCTTCGAATCTTGGCCCATTTGGCGAAAGATGTCGAGTTATTGGGAAAGATGAACTCGAACTGCGACGTTTTAAGGCTTGTTGCTGCGGGGCATCTCAAAAAAGATCCTGAGAAGGTTTGACATCTTTTTTCACCTCAGTGAATTAATTTTCTCACCAGAAAAAAATATATGCCGAAGAATTATGAACATATTATGGAAGGTCTCCACTACATTTTTTCTTTCACTCAAGCACACACTTTATATTTAAAAAAGAAAAATGTTTCCGTGTGCGCGCGGAACTGGGACAGAAAATTCCATTCTGCAACCATCGAGATCTTTGTACTGTACTGTATTTTCTCTTCTGGTTCCCCGCGAATCTCGAATTTTACAAGCCTATTAGTGATTTTTAAAATGAAGTGGTGCAATCCGATCAGATTTGCTGACAATAATTAGATTCCTGCTTCGAGTCCCATTCATTCTACTGTGTCGAGTTAAATCTGGCTTGGAAACTTGATCATCCGAAGAACGGAATTTTACGGTACAGTACTTGCAAAATCTCCGAAGCGTCCATATCATACGTGATCGTAGTGATCTCCCTAATTTTGTGTTTCAAACTTGACTCGAAACATGTCCATCGTAAAAAATTTTCCGCGATTTGAAGGTAACTGACGAAGAGCGACAAGCAACCAAGAAAGTCGTGTACGGCATAATTTACGGAATGGGTGAATCGACGCTGGCACGGCAAATGAACGTCACTGAGGAGCATGCGAGCTTCCTAATGAAGTCTGTGTTGGATAGTTACCCGGGTGTTCGTCGGTACATGCGGGCTCAAATTGAAAGTGTGAGAGCCTTGGGTTACGTGACGACGCTGTCTGGTCGAAAGAGATTCCTCCCTGGAATCTTGGCTGATTCAGTCGCGGAAAGGGGACACGCGGAACGACAAGCCGTTCATACTGCTGTCCAGGTTCGTTGGGATTCTTTTCAACGATTTGCACGTTTTTTTGAACATGTTCGAGTGTGACCTGAAAAAAAAAATCAAGAAGTTTTAAGCGCAGATTTTTATCCCTTCAGAACTCCGTTTTCGGAGATGAACCTCCGATCGTGATCGTTTTTACTTGATTAAGAGTACGGTACGATGAATTTTGTATTCATGAGCGATTTTACTCCTGCTGATTTTCCCTGTCTTCTACGTTTTGTGATGATTGAGCTTTACATCGGAGTGAGTTGCAACCCACGAGTTCAGGTTGCGTCAATTTGTGATGATTTCGGGTTGAAACTACATGAAGTTTACAGATTTTTTTTAGAAAGCCTCTCAGGAAGATTTTGTAATTAAAATTTTCAAAATCTCCTATGAATGAAGGGATTATTTGTTCTAAAATTAACCAGATCTAGCTCAAATGGCACATTATAGCGAAGAAATAACTTCAGAATCCTTAGGCTTCTGAATTACTGTCACAACTCCTTCATTTTGAGCTCGATCGTGAAGGGAAGGAGGGCTATGGGCCAGATCAAAGAAAATGCAACGGCTCTGCAGAAATGGCATTGCACTCTTGAATACCTGGAAAAATCCCTGAAAATAAATAGCCGACAAGCATAAAAAATTTGAGTTACGGATGTTCGAGAGGGAAAGCTTCGAGTTGAACGATTTTAATGCTTTGTTTCTTTTTTAATTCGGACATGGACTTCATTGTAAAAAAGTGATGAACGGGAAACGCTTCAAACCTTGATCATTCAATTTTTTTTAGGGTTCCGCTGCCGACTTGCTGAAAGCAGCAATGGTGGCGACAGATTCCGAGCTTTGCAACCAGTTTGGGGAGGATGCCCCTCGACTCGTTATGAGTTTGCACGACGAACTCATTTTCGAAACAGACGTGGAGAATTTAAACGATACTGTGCGTTGCGTAAAATTAGCAATGGAATCCGCGTGGAAGTTATGCACAGGAGAAGGGTTGAAAGTGTTGACCCCTGTCAAAATCTCAGTCGGAGATTCTTGGGGTAATTTGAAAGCTTGGACCGAAACTTCTTGAAAACCTTTGTGATATTTTTTTCGAGTCTTCTCTGTGATTTCAAAATCTGAGATTTTCTTCGTGCCTCAAAAACGAAACGAATCTCTCATGTATCCATTAAGCTGTAGCTCTGTTTTCTGCTTCTGTGATCAACGTGATTGTAAAAAAAAATTATTCAATTGTTCACTTATTGTTGATTTCATGTTGATATCTGTGATAGTTTTACTATGTTTTTCAATAAAAAATTTATCCAATTTACTATTATATGATGTGTTCAATATTTTTTATTTCGTGCGCCTGAAACAAAATTTTCAGAACTTTGTTGAGGGGTTGGTTGCTGTATTCATTTTTTTTTTTTTACTCGAAACAGTCGAAAGGCATTTTGAATGCGGTGTTTCAATAGCTTGAGAAGAAAATGTGATGTTTTGGCATATCTACTTCAACTTCTGTTGTCTTGAAGTACAGTAATTTCGTCAAAACTTGCCAAGCCGGATTTGTTGTGACCTGATTTCAGGATGCATAGAGTGAGGTAAGTGGTCTTCAATGAAAAAAACTCTCTGCACTCTTCGTTTTATGCGTTCATTTTTCAATTGCAGGGTAGAGAAGCTGGATGCGATTCTCTCGGAGGAACTCATCAATTTGGAGAATTTGAGAAAATTTTGTTTTAATGGTTAGTATTTACAGTCGAGACTCACCTACCCATTTTTTGTTAGCTTTTTATTATTCCCACGTTGTTATGGGGTATTGAAGGGTCTTCCCGTTAAATTTCTAATCGATTTCATCAATCATTGAAGAAGTAGTCCTTCTAAAGCAACCTATGCATAGTATTTTCGATCACATTTTTGAGGATTTTTCGAGCATGAAATGCAGGGTGATGGCCTGCCTGTCATTTGTGACAAGCAACTCAAGTTTAAATTGAGGCATAGAAAAAGAGAAGTTTTTCCAACATTTCTTGGATAATTGCGTAATCCATTATACATTCATTTTTGTGCCTTGAAATAAACTGATTTTATGTCTTGAACTTGCCTCGGTATTTATGCATACTTGAAATTTGAATTAGCTAGATTATTGTTCCCCAACCTATGGTCTGCGGACTGGCGGCGCGGACCACGTGTTTTTTTGCTGGTCCGTAGGAAATTTTTGAGCACAATAAATTCATCAGAAGTCGGGACGAAGTCTATTTTCTTCACCTAAAATTTCGGAAGGACAATGGCAATTGAATTATCTGATGAAAAAAAGTTGGCTTTTATCTTAACACTTCTGAAATGAATTATTTAAATTTTTCATTCTGAGAAACCTTTCTCCAAGCCCACCTTTCTGATGGTTAGATGAAAATTCTTAACTGAATTTTTCTTGTAAATACCTGCCTGATAACATTCAAACAAAACTTCAGTGAGTCCTCAAAAATTTGTTGAAACTTTGCCAGTCTGCAGTAAAGATTTTGGGAATTTGCTGGTCTGCGAACATTTTTTAGGAAATTTACTGTTCCATGGGTTGGGAAAGACTGAGCTGGATCACACAACGGAAAAACTAAAACCTTTTATCATATCCTCCCTTGCTGAATTCTGCTATGATTCGACCAAATTATCTGAACCTTAGGTTCTCGATTGGAATGTGAACATCGATTCGAATGTGAAAAGGATCAGTGGCAAAAATTGCCCACCTCATGTCACTTACAGAGGACCTCACAATTTAATCCCTATTGTTACCCTAGGCTGTGAATATCTGAGGTAATCCAAAGTTTTTGAATAGATGTGTTATCTTTGTTTAGTTGGGGGTTATTCTTTGAATGATAATGGTATTTTAAATCGTCATTTCAATTTTTTTAAGGTATTCCGGATGACCATGGCCAGCGGCCAAAATGCTGGAAACTGTTGCTTAACTACTTATCCCGCGGGAAATCCGAATGGAGCAAAATCCTGCAAGAGAATCGTGACCATTATGAGCAATATATCCGTGAGAAATTTTTTTTTTTCGAATCATCGGACCTGTAAGCTTGGAGATTGATTCAATTGAAATTTGAAATTGGATGGTATTTAAATCCTATATATCTATGAACAAGAGTTGGAATTTTCTATGGAAAATGAGGGGAACGTTTTTTATTATCGCTTAATGCAGATGAGATGATCATGAAGAAACTCAGCAGCACGGAGGATCACCCATTGAATCCAAATCCCGACAGCAATTGGACCACGTTTTTCAAAGACAACGAGGTCCTGCTTCAAATCGACAAAGACGTTAGGTTCGTCTAAACTCTAAAGAATCATTTCCTAGAACGAAACCTTTCGAGCTGTTTTTTTCCCCCCTCTGTAATCCTCAGGCGGTTGTGTCCGGAAATGTCGTTTTTCCAAGGTCCTACTGAATTTCCATCGAGGCTGTTGACGAATGCTGCGAGTGGGGTTGAAAGATTGCACCATCGCGTGCAGAATGGCATGCTGAAAAGTGTGTCTTTGACGAGGCGTGGCTTGGGAGCTCACACGGTAAATACTTCAGTCATGAATCAAGGCTTTTTAGGGGTTCGTGTGAAAGAGAGATGAGGTTTTCTTTTTGGTGTCGATTCGTTTAATGGACTTTCATGTCAACGAGACATAAATTTTTTATAACGTCCGTCATCTGACAAATGTGAAGCTAAATGAAAAGTCCAGGGCCATGAAACCTCCTAGACTGAAAAATGTGCACTGAGGAAGCTGTATAAAAAGGCTACAGTACTCTATAATATTACTCTTTGTTGAAGAAAATATCGCTTTTTTATTTGTCAAATAAAAGTCACTATTGTATTTGGTTTTGAAAAACTATCATTTGTTAAATGAGTATGACTGCTGAATTGATTTTCATTTACTATTCATTTTTTACACTTCACCCGAACTTCGATGAATTGAGAAGAAGCAGAAAGGTTTGTTATTTTAATTGTTTATAATGGTGAACTGTTGAGGTCTGTAATTTGAATTGGCATGTAATCGTTATGGTTATTACTGTATTTCGATGTTCGAGAAAATGAGATTGTTGAAAGAGAAGAAATAGTTTTGGTGAGAAATGGACAAAGAGGGAGATAGATGAAAAGACGCGTCTAGAGGCGGAAATTCGTTTCACATTGAAGTACCGTATTCTCGAAAATTTACATCAAATTATATTGTCTTAGCTCATCACAGCCGAACGAGAATAATTTAATCTAACTCAACCCAACCTGAGAAACTGTATCAAACGAAGTGTAAAATCATTTTTTAGGTGATACCTGTGCAATGACAGGAAATCTCTCTGAGTCGGTGACGTCATCAGAAGCGTCTTAAATTGAAACGAGATGAGATTAGTTGCGTTTCTTTCAGTTCAGCAAAACCGGCAGGAATGATACCGGAGATTACACAACGCTGGAAGACGGTCAAGAGGCTCACTGGGAAGTCGTGGAGCGTATATTATTCATATATGCCAAGCTGAATCCGGGGCAAGGTTATGTCCAGGGAATGAACGAAATTCTGGGTCCAGTTTACTACGTGTTTGCTACTGACCCGGATGCAAGCTGGCGAGGTGTGCATTTTTCTGATAATTTCAAGTGTCTCGTCTATTTTCTGTTCCTTGATTTTAAAATGAATGTCGCTGTAAGTATTTCTCCTGTTCATTTTTATTACCGCATTTTTTATGACAAAAAATTGGAATCATGAACTATCGCGTATCAAATCAAACTGAATCCTAATCGTTATTCAGCGGCATCAAATTGAGGCATTTTTAATAAAAATTTTGAAGAAACTTTGGAAAGGGATACTTTTTCGCGGGAAAAATGCTCTTACTCTTCTTTTTTTTTAACAAAGCCGTTCTTCGCAAACTTGATTCTATTGTTTCTATGTTCCAATGCTGAATGCAATTTTAATTGATCGCGGCAACAACATAGCATTGATAGAATTAATTCATGGATGGATTTTAGCCTTCCTGATGCGAATATTCTTGGATTAACAGAACACGCCGAAGCGGATGCATTTTTCTGCTTCACCAACCTGATGTCCGAGATCAGAGACTTTTTCATCAAGACGTTGGACAACAGTGATTCAGGGATCAGCGCATTGATGACCAAACTTCAGGCATCGCTGAAGGCTATCGATCCAACCCTGTGGGAGCATTTGAATGACATGGATTTGAAACCACAATTTTATAGCTTCAGGTTAACAATCCGATTTTTTTTAATGAATCATATCCTTGATCGGAGTACAGTATAGTAAATTTTTCTGACTTATGATTACTTTTTAGTTTTCAAGTCAAGTATGACTGGAGTTTTCTCTTGTAAAATCAATGCCCACAAGAAATAAGTTTTTCGTTTCCATGGATTGTGCAGTAGATGAGCATATCTCCAGAAACTGAATATCCAACTGATATTTCTACATTTTGTTTTTTCCGCGTGCAATTTTTTGTTTTGCTCTTTTGTCCACTAGATCTGTTGTCCTCTTTTTCTTTCCACGTACAAGGGTTGTTCCTGTTCTGTGCAGGATTAAATACAATCCAACATCGATTAAAATAGGAAACTTGAAGTTTTAGGCATACGATATTTTTTTTTTATTTTTTTTTTCAGTAAACTTCATGCATATTTCAAACTACCGGTTTCGATAAAAACCTGCTAGTGGTGTCGATCGCCTCGTATGTAGCTTGGATAGTAGTGTGAGCAGTCCTTTCCGGATAAGGTAATGTATTAGGGCGACATCTAATCGGTCAATGTGAACTTGTGAAACTCCTTTTTTCAAATGTCGTGGACCCATAATTTTATAAAAATAATTTTTCGCCTCGTGTTGATAATCTCTTGTGTATTGAATGTTCAACAGGTGGCTGACGTTATTGTTGAGTCAAGAATTCCGATTGCCAGAAGTGATCAGGCTGTGGGACTCGTTGTTCGCTGATAAGAAACGGTTCGAGTTTCTGAGCTGCGTGTGCTTGGCGATGCTATCGCTGGTGCGCGAGGAACTGCTGTGCGGGGACTTCGCGCACAACATGAAGCTATTGCAGGTACAGTACATAAAAGCGTGGCAGTCGTTGATAGATCCAGTATGATGGTTACGAAGTCTTTAGTTGACGGGTTTGAGGGCAAATTCTTTTCTTTTAGAAGCAGTCTTGCTCATTGCGAGCGACGATTTTTCCCCGGGTCTGCTTATCGTGCGATAAGCAGTTTTTCCTATTCTTTTGAAGGCTTATTTGTAAAAATTTTTGAGTTAACACCTTTTTAGAGTTAAAAATCTGTGTGTTGGCAATTTTGAGTGAATTTTTTGCCCATGTGAATCAGGCGATAAGTAGCTCTTCATATTTCTGTGCTAAAGGCTTATTTATACATTTTATGCAGGAAGTGTTTTATGGGTAAAGATGTGTTTTAGGAACTTCGAGATGCGGACATAATTGTTGCTTGGGCATTGTCCCAATGTTGGATCACTTTTTCCCCCTTGAATTATGCAAACATATTTAATTGGTTCTCTTGTTCATCAAAAATTAGGAAGAAGTTCAGCAAAAATTAATTCCCTCAACTTCGAGGTACAGGAAACAACTTTACAGAAGAAAACCGCATAGATTTTGATCTTCTGACTTCAAAAGGAGCCCAAAAAGCAAAGAACTAGAATAAGTCTTGCTATACTGTGCGCAGATGATCAAAAAAAGTCTGAAAAAAGAAAAAAATCTTTCCGCTTTTGATTATGAATTAGAGAAAGTTTATAATGAAGCGTATGTTCAATTTTTGTATATATATATATATACAGTGAGACCCTGAGATGCAGATGTAATTGGTGCATCAAGAGTGTCCTTATGTTGGAATGTCCCTAAGTCAAGTCTCATTTTCCCTTAGACTTCAATGCTAATGTATTGAATTGGTTCTCCTTTTGTCAAAAATTAGAAATAAGTCCCCAAAAATTTAATAAGAATTGTTTCCCTCAACTTCAAGTTGTAGAAAACAACGGGGGAGAACAAAACCACATGGAATCTGATCTTTTGGTATCAAAAAGAGATCAATGAGCAAAGAAAAAGTCTTGCCAAAATATGCACAGATGAAAGAAAAAACTCTGAAAAAAATAAGCACAATATCAGCTTGCTTTTGATTATGAATTAGAGTGAAATTATCGTGAAATATTTTTTATATAAATAGCCTAATTTGTTCAAAATTTATCAAAATTAAAAAATAAAATGTTTCAATGTTTGGGACAATTTCACAAAGTGTCCATAACTGGAGCCAATGTCTGGATATTCGGCCTGATTTTTGTGGTTTTCAAGTGTCCTTAAGTCGAATTGTCCATCTATTGGGGTTTCACTGCAGCTTGATGTGTTTGAGATATCAAAATTTAAAAAATGCAAATTTTCGATTTTTCTGAAAATGTTTGCAAATTGTATTTTTTTGAGCCATTATCCGGGTGTCGGGGCAGATTTTTTTCAATTTTCTGTCCCTAACTTGAATCGTTCGTATGGAGGGACGTCCGCATGTTAGGGTCTCGCTGAATTTTCTCTCTTTCGCTATCTCGCTTGGGGTGAATCGGTATCTCCGAGTTTTAATTTCCTCCCTTCTCTCTTGGATTGAAATTGAGCATGTCTTTCGTATCCCGCAGAATTATCCCAATATCGACGTGCATCGTATCCTCGTCCGAGCCGTGGAGATCTCTTCGATGAGGTGACAGGGGGCTTGGTACAGGCGGGGATCCAGTCAATGTGTGGAGCTGAGACGTGGCCGATGAGGATTTTTCCACGTTTGATTCAATTCCCCTCCCCCGCCCGTCATCATGTTCGTTTCTCCCCGCGCTGCTCCGCGACCAGAACTGATCTGTGATGACAAAAGTGCACTCGTCCGAGGTGTTAGCGTTTATTCTGTGGACTCGCGAGAACAGGGTGGGATTATAGAAGAGATTATGATCTGTATTTTTCCGATACTGTTGCTGCTGGGTATGTAAGTAAAGGGTATGTTGGGAAGCGCTCCCGGGGGATAAGTCCCCGACGAAAAGGGACTTGGCAGAAGAGGGGGGAAAATGACCCGCGACAAAAAGCTGTAATGGGGCAAGTGGGACTTTGGGACCAACACGTGATGGTCAATGGGTGCACCCATTTTGTTACAAATGAACCAGACAAGCCTCACATTTTTAGGAATACAGTAAAACCTCATTGCAACAAATGTATTTGCAACAAACTTTTCAGCGTAACAAACTTACTTCGTCCCGGCAGAAAGCCCATAGAGTACATGTTGAAACATTCTCTTCATAACAAACTTCTTGATTCTAGTGTAACAAACTTGTTTAGGAATGTTCAATAGATTCTCAGGTAGAAATTCCCTGGCTAAAACAGGCACAGTCTGAAAATTTCAATCCCAAATGTGACTAATTGGTTCTCATAGCATGGATGGAAGCTGTAATCAACTACAAACATGCTACCAAGTTGTTCCATGCAAAACCATCTCAAAATGAAGATATTTTCACATAATCTTCATAGAATGAAGCGAATGGTGCAACTGATGGAGTGCATGATTCAAGCCAATTTTTTCTTTAGAAGATCACTCAGTTTTTCAAACAATAATCAAAAATGAGAATGCTAGAAAAGCAAGATCTAATTGATTATTGAGGCAGGTCTGCTGTTTACATACATTCCAGACATCAATTTTAAAAATCTCATTATGAAAAATAATCCAATATAACAAACTTATTTTGATATCTCCAAAAGTTTGTTGTGACCAGATTATACTGCATTCCTTGAAAATATTGCGTTTTGGCTGCAGTGTTCAGTTCTGAAAATCTGAAAATGGCATAAATATCCATATAAAACACTCATCAGTCTACAATGATGCTTTGCCTGTTGTAAATGTGAACAGATTAAAAACGTATAATTTATGAAATAAAACGGACCATCACTCTCACCCAAGACCCATGGTTGAACCCGCCGGGGACTTTTTGTCGCGGGTCCCTTTTCGTTGGGGACCTAATCTTGCGGAGCCATTAGAAATTGGGTTCACGCGAATATCAGACGCATTCTCTTCGTTTCCTGTTATTGTTTTCGATAAAGAAAATCCGGGTGATTTTTGGAATTGACGCCGGGTCTTGAATGTGACTGAACCCACTCAAATGATTTTTAATGACTCGGAAATATTTTTTTAAACTTTCCATCTCTTAGAATAAGCTCTAAGCAAGTTCTGCCTTGATTGGCTACAGTATTTCACCACAGGATGAGGTTTTTTTTTGTTTGAAAAGCGTAAGTGTGGTCTATACTAAGGATATATGTGGGTTAGGCAACACTGATACATAAGTCAAGAAGAAATCAAGCATTGTTTAATTACCAGCCTGCTAAATGATGAATTCGAAAAACTAATTTTTGTATGTGGCCTGAGTGGCTCTTTCTTGGACATGATTTTCCTGAATGCCTAAATTCTATGGATGACACATTTTCTGATGGAAATACAAAAAATTAAATTTTCAAATACAGTTTGTTCTTGCTAACTCAGAGCTCCCAAGTCAAAAACTTCACTTTTCAAATCCTTCTGAGCTCCTCTCTGAATCCCCGTAATTTACTGAAACTTCTGATGGCTGTCGGGCTATTATTCAGGGGACCCAGGATAGAGAAAAGCGATAAAAATGTAAGTTTTTTAAATTAAGTGAGCTACTAACTGGGCATTTGTACACTTGTCTCCCAAGTTCACAGTTTTGAACTCCAGATTGTTATTTTTCAAATAGTGTCCCCACTAAAGATTAGGGTTTCCATAACTCTAGAACTCCCTGCATCAAATTTGTTCAGGTCCCTCGAAGTTTGACTTGAAGAGATTTTACCAGAAGAAAGTATCTCGCAGCTTATTCCGGTGTCGTGCGGTAATTGAGATATTGCAGGCAAGGTTATTATTGCGCGAAAGAAAGAAAATTTAACCTGTATTTACGATTGCAAACAGGGAATGGTTCATTTTACATTTACAAGCCTAATTTTAATATCAGGTTGAAGTTCCTGGAAATTTGAGTCGGGTTTTGGAATTGATAGCGTCTCATATTCGCGTGAGGAAGGGATATTGCTTATTTTTCGGAAATGGGATCCAATGACGAGAAAGCCGTGCCATCATTACTTGATTATCAAAAGATCAATTTTGCTTCTTTTTTTACGTTACGGTGCGATGGCAATTTTTTGGTTTTTTATTTGTAGATTTCTTCAAAAGTTTATGGAGGATTGATCGGTGTGTCCGTCTTTCAGATGTTGCGTTGATTATTTTTTTTGAGCACGTGCAAAAGAAGTCGGTGGTGTTTCAAAATGCCGATGTACTTCAATGGCGAGTTGCCGCTGGAAAATTTTCTCTTTTCGGGTCTGACTGCGAATGCTTGGGAAGGTGAGGAACTGGAGAAGGCTGGATTTTTTTTGCATCTACTGTACTGTAATTCCATGGCGTGACTTGATTCATCTGTAAGGTCTGACCGGTCTGTGCATTGGCGTTCTGTCGCTGTCTGTGTTGTACGAAATCATGCGATACTTCGAGTTGGGCTTTACTGATGGTACGAGGCTGTGTACCGATGAGCCGAGCAGTGAAGGAAGCACGGACGTTCCTGTGTCTGAACGTCGACCCTTGTTGATTTTAGGGTACTTTCGCCGCATGTCCAAGTGAGTTATGCCATATTCATCTTTTCATGGGGATACACTAATCGCTAGGTTTTATTTGAGAATTAAGGTTCTAAGAAGAATTTCTGGGAGCAGCCGGGAAATGAGTTATATATATGCCCTGGTGTGTGCCTTTCGAAATATCCTGCTCAAAGACTAGTGCTGGCATCTGATGGTGTAAATTGAGGGTATAAGAAGAAATTCTGGGAGTGGGCAGGAAATGAGGGTTGTGGGTTGTGAATGTCTTAGTATGTGTTACAGTATCTAAAAATCCTATATCATTCTTTTGCTTCCATAGAGAACAGTGGTGGAATCTTGATATTCTTAGCTGATCAAAATTAATTTCATGAATCTTGAATAAACTTCAGCCACTCTGTTTTTAACTAAAATTATCTGACCGCAGTTGACATTCATGAAATCAGAATAATTTTATGGTGAACCGATAACAAAATTGTTGATGCAGCGCTTCTTTCTTCATTGTAGGTCCGGAAGACTGCTGCTTAGTGTTGCGCACACGTTTAGGTCAATTTTGGGCTATACTTTGATGCTATGCGCCATGTCTTTCAATAGTTACATTTTTATTACTATGGCGATTGGCGCTGCAGTTGGGTATTACATGTTTGGACACCAAATTTTGGATCAAAAGTGGAAATTGGCTTTCTTGCGCACACGATCAAGAAACGCCTCCGCTGTG